ATTATATATATATACTTACTTTAAAAGTTCCTTTAATTGTCAGACTCCTGGATGTTTAGCATTTTCTTTTGAACAATTGTTACAGTTACTGTTTGTACCAGTTCCTGGCTCCCAGTTTTCTTCCTGTGCCATCAGCTGCCCCTCCTGTCCCATCTCCTGACACCTCTTCGTGGGGGCACCTCAAGGTTTCATCCTGTCCATGGACGTCCCTGGGCAGGTCCCTGTGCACTGAACAGCTCCCGCACTGTTGTCGTGTGGCCTGGACCTCTCCCCTGCACACCAGAATGATCTGTCAGCTGCCCTTCTATGCTTCCATTGAATGTTGACATGAAATCTCAAATCGACGTACTGAAGTTGAACTTGGCACAGTTGTGCCCCCTGGTGCTTTTTGTCTTCATGGTGGCAACTCTGTCCTTTCTTTCCACTGCAGGGCAGTGACCCCTACCTCTTCCTTGGCCCTTCCCCATCCACGCCTGACCTGTAGGCAAATCCTGGGCTTTGCCGTCAGAGGGTTTCTGCTTCGCTGCCCCGCCTGCGCTCCTGACCGCATAACTCCCACCTGGCTATCGTAACGTCATCCAATGGGCTCTGGCCCTGTGATTTTTTTTTGTTAAGTTGTCCTTTGTGCTCTAGAACAGTCTAAGTAGTGTTGGAATCCTCTCTCCTTTATAGGTTTAGTTCGGTTTGCCTGGGAAGCTTCTACCTCTAGTGCTTTTTAAAAATTAACTCCTTTACCATTTTATCTAACTTTTTCTATGACACTGGTCTGTTTCTTTTAGATTTGCTAATTTAGATAAGGTTGTACAAAATTGTTCTTAAAATTTCCTTGCTTTCTGCAATATTTTCTTGTCACTTATTATTTTTAGCATTTGTTCTCGCTTCCCTTGTTTATGCGGAAGTTTACCTACGTCACCGATTCTGCCCCAGCAAACCAGGTATCCACTTACTTTGCTTTCCGCCGTTATCTAACTCTCCTCAGTTCCTTTGATTTTTATTGTATTGCTCTGCTTTCCTTTGGTTTATTTTGTTGTTGTTGTTTTTTCTGACTTACTAAGTAGATTCTTAGGTCCTTCAGTCTCACTCTTTTCATAGTTTAGTCTGTGACGTTTCCTATGGCCACTGCTTTAGTTCTGCCCTCCAGGTTCAGAGCCTAGGATGTAGCACTTCATCATCATTGGTTTCTAGAAATTCTGTGATTTGGAGTTGACTTTTCCTGTAATCCAAAAGTTGTTTAAGCTTGCTACAAAGCTCTCTATTTTTTTCCCTGTGATCTCTTTACGTGATCCCGCACCTCCTCTGCTCAGAGCCCTCTTCTGGCCCCCCATCGCAGTGTGCCTAAAAGCCGGCGTGCTCACAGTGGCCTGCAGAGCTGGGCCCGGTTACCTCCTCGGCCTCAGCTCCTGCTTTCCCCGCCTTGCTTTCTGGCCTCTGCATTGTTCCCAGAACACAGCAGCCCCCGCCGCCACGGGCATCACCCAGCTTCCCCTCCCTGGAGTGTTCCTTACCCTGATGGCTGCCTTTCCAAGCCATGGCTCTCCAAGCTGTTTAAGATTGCAGCCCCTCCCACCTCCTTAGCTCCCTGAGCTCTTTTCACCATCTGTTATATAATTTACTTACTTATTTTGTCTACCACTAGCATGTAAGCTTCATGAGGGCAGGAAGGTCACCAGTGGGTGGCATATTGTGGGCACTAATCAAGTATTTGTTGAATGAATAATGACTTTAAACACTGCTGTTAGCATTGATGGTTATTGAATATAAAATAGCATTTCGCCTGAACTGTGTCTGAGAATTATGAGGTTGTTATTAGCATTTTTCTCTGGTTTAGTCTATGTATTTGTGAATGAATATTACTTTATGCCAGAAAGAAGGGCTCCATATCAGTTTTCTTCCTTCATTTTGTCTTCATAGACATAGACACTGAGAACTGCTCATTCATGTGAGTAAGTAGATGGGCATGGAAGGTGTTTTGTTAGAGCTGTGTCATTCTGTCCTTGGACTTCAAAGCTGGAGGACAGAAACCATGTATTTTCATGGGCTTTCAGCTGACTCCTAAATGAGGTTCCTTCTTCCATTTTGTTGAAAGCAGAGAATTAGGAACCACCTGCTTTGGGAAAGGCTTTACACGGCCAGAGGACGACAGGCTTCACGTCACAGTCTCTGAGGCACCAAAACTTCTGCCAAGGCCTGTCCGCTGACCGTTAATCCTACCTGTCACCCTTGGGAACATCTCATTTTGCCTGAAATACTCAAGGAGTTGAGAAAACTATGATGTTACTAATTTCATCATGCCCTTACCAATAAAGTGTATTCAAGACTTACCACACACTTACATGTCCCTCCAAAGACTGACCCTGCAAGTCGAGCTCAGTCAGGTTGTCATATATCTGCCGTACGCTTAAAGAGGCAGGGCCAGTTCTGATTGTCACCCAGTGGTGCCCAGTGGCTGGCAGACTCTGTGCGTGAACTCTGCCCAGCGGCTCCAGAGCGAAGCAGGCCTTCCTCCGCCCGCCCCCCTGCCAAGTGGGAGCTCCAGAGCCGGACCCCACAGGTGCGTCAGCGAGAATTCTTTGGCTGGGTCTTGGCTGAGAAAGTGAGATTTAACGAGAGGTGCTCCTGGGTGTCATCTCAGGCCCGTCTGCTCCCAGCTGCTTTTAAAGTTGGACTGTGATTTCTGGGCAAATTCTGTAATAAATAAGCAGACTGGATCAGCTCCAAAAGCTGTGTGCCTTAAAAGAGGGAAAAAGAAGTACTGGCTCAGAAGCAGATTATTTTCCTGAAAGAGGTATATTCCATGAGGTAGAAAAAATCCAGACAGTCTGCTTTCTGTTTTCAGTGAGTTCAGAGATGGTATAATTCTGATATTATTAAATGAGCCCTTGACTAGCACAGAGGAATGTGGCAGAATCAAAACCACATGAGACCAAAATAACAGTTTGTTTAAAACTGGCAGACAGCAGAGTTGAAACTATATGATCAGTGAAATGGAAAGCCAGCTAGAGAAATATCCAGGATGTGGGAGGATGGAGAGGCCAGAGGCAGCCTTAAGGACGAAGAAAAGAACAGGACAGATGCAGCGCTGTCAGCCAAAGCTGGGCGGCACTGCACAGAGCCTCTTCACGGCACCTAACGCCAGATGGCCGTGCTGCGGTGACCCATGTTGGACTATGAGACCGATGTCCTCAGAGCCTTGGCCGAGCAAGGGTGCATTCTGAATATTTTATACTTACTTGAAAATTGCTTTTTTTTTTGGAATTAAAAACTTTCCCCCTAGAATACTCCTTCCAAAGACAATACTACCAATCACTAACCCAAGTGTATTTATAAGCACTAGAAACAGACCTACCAAATAAGTGGTGGGAGGCGAGAATCACACATGCCAAGGATGGTCAGGCAAGCAGTCAGAAACCGTTCTCCCCTGCACTCTGTGCGATCAGCTAGGTGAGCGAATGAGCTGAAGAAATACACGAAACCAAAAGATGAGGAGGAAACACAGAAATAAAATATTTCTGTTACCTTGGTTGAGAAAGACTGTTTTAAACATAAACCAAAGACAGAAACCACCTTTCTGTGGGTTAAGACTGGCTTAAAAATGACAGCTAGTTGAACAAATCAAAAGGCAAATGGAGAAAGAAACATTATAACAAATATAAAAGGCAAAAGTTAATCTTAGGATCTTTTTTATATGGGTAAATAAAAGATGAATACCTCAGTAATAAGAGTTGAAAACCATTAATCATTTTACTTAAAGGAAAAAGTACAGGTGACCAATAATATGAAATAAATTTCAGTCTCACTAGTATTAATCAGATGAATGTAAAATAAAATAGTATTTCTCCTCTGTCCCACTGGCAAAGAATAAAAACCCTGGGACCCAGGTAATGTGGGTTTTAACTGCTAGACAATATAAATGTTGACACAACCTCAAAATTCTTAAAATGTTTTTTCTGGTGTTAATTTGTTTGGCACTGTCAACTTCCTATTAAATGTTCACCTTACATAAAAAAGCTGAGGGAAGCAGTACAATGTTGTATTGCTGATTTGTTCATGATTATAAATATTTTGGCGGAAGTTGAACCTTCATTTTAAAAATGGTTTTCATTTTGTCAGATCGTTTAGAGTAGTTTAATTTCTGGGGGCATTGCCAGGTTGAAGCGTGTTTGTGCTGGCGCGCCCTGCTGGTGGTACCAGCAGCATTGCCAAGCGGCCAGGCTCACCTGTAGGCCAGGCTCATGTGCCAGACGACTCGAGAAGAGGCAGAGAGACAGGTGGCACAACAGGGGAGTTGAGGCTATGCGATGAGGTCTGCATGGCACTGCCACTTCCTCCCTGGACACCCTCCTACATGCCCTCCAGCCCCCATTGCAGAGGGCCTGCTGTGCTCTGCACGCCTCACCAAGCACTCAGCCAGCCAGAGCCCCTACAGCTGCTGACGGGGAACACTTGCTGAGGCAGTGATTCTGTCTGGCGCCCTGCTATGTGCCCAGGGCTGGATCGGTGCCTGGCAGAGGTCCGTGCTTCATAAACGCATGTTGAATGACTAGAAGCCACGCGCCAGGCCCTGGGCTGTCGACGCTAGTCCACCTCCCCTTGGAGCAGGCAATCTCATGGGGACCAATGGCAAACAGGTGACTGCGCAGTTTAAACAAGGTGGTTACCTGCCATGAGATGCATTTGAAGGGTGCATGGGTCTGGATTTGGACCGGGGTGGGGTCCAGTTGAATCTGGACAGGGTGAGGCCAGAGCAGGGCTGCTTAGGCCAGTGTTCCGGGAGATGAGGCCGCGGAGTGGCCAGTGTTCTAGAAGGATGCCTGGACCTGTCCTGAGGGTGCGTGGCCAGTGTGGGGTCAGGACTTGAAGTAATGGAGGAATCCTGTAGTCCCATCTTTAAACTCTTAATTCTGTGTTTGCATATCCTAACATAGTGTTTGCTTTTTGTTTCCTTTTCCTTTTTTTTAAATTTAAAGGATTTTTTTGTTTTGTTTTGTGTTTTTTGATAGATGAGGGTTACTACCAGGGTGGAAAATTTCAGTTTGAAACTGAAGTTCCTGATGCGTACAACATGGTGGTGAGTAGCCTGTACGGGAGCGTGGTCTCCCCCCTTGTGGCTGGTGGCCGGCGCGGAACCCAGCATTCCCCACACTGCGTCCACGTGTCACCCACCCAGTCCTCTTCTGAGCATGAAACTGCAGACGTTTGGGTAGTTAATGTCACTTACCAGCATTATTTAAAGTTTTAGTGGAATGATTCATTTTTTTCAACAAATATCTGTGAGCACTGAGTGCCGGGCAGTCTGCTCTGGGAGCACAGCTCTGCCAAGGTCGGCATGACTGTCCCAAGGCTGGCATCTTTCCTGTGAGCTGCCTGTGTTTTGCGTGTAAATCTTACTTATTAAATTCTGGCACTAAAGAAAAAAGTGCAGTTCTGTTTGTCATTTTAACACCAAAATTCCTGAAGTGTATAAAACGTTCATCTTAGAATTTTAGAAAGGAATAATGACTTGTAGTTTTAAACTTTAATTTATACTCATAGCCTTGTGTTAATCCCTCAGAGGCCCTTTTACGTAATGATCATACCACATTCTATCACATCCTGTCTTTGCTTTCAAGGAACTTACCAACCAATGAGGAAGGTCAGGTGAAGTGTAGGAAGTTTTAAATGGTGAAAGTGGTAAATAGCAGACAGTGGAGATCGTAGAAATTGGTCATTCGTAGGAAACAATTTATAGGAATTTAGAGAAGGAAAAGAGGATCCCTTTTGGAAATGGTAGGAGCCTGTTAAGTGTGGAAGAAGAAATTAGAGGCATCCTGATCTAGGCCGGCCGTGTCCAGGGGTGGGTTTTCTAGATGGCACGGAACTCTCCAGAGCTGTGTTGACAGGCTGGGAAGTGGGAACCGCAGCCTCTGCGGTGGATCGGCCAGGCTGACCTGAATGAAGAGGTGGGTTGGGCGGGGCTGAGGGCGCGAGGACATCAGCTCTGGGCCTTGCTGGGCACCGTCCCTTAGGCGGAGAGAAACCGCTGGAGACTCCGAAGCACTCCACGCCCCGAGGGGGGCATTGGAGAGGCACATGCCCGGCAGACACACAGTCCCTCTCAGCCTCTGAGCTGTCCAGCTTTGCTCATTTCATGTATGTTGAAATATTTATTTCCTGACCTTCTCTAGGCCTATCAAATAGGAAGTAGAAATCTGATGGTAAAATTAAGTCTCTTATTAACCTGACACTATGGGTGTTGGGGACACCGTTACCCCAGTTCAGTGCTGCATTGCTCAGGCTGCAGTGACTGCCTCCGGGCGTCTGACAAGTAGAAGGAGCCTCCCCGGCCCCCAGCCCAGCCCCACTGCCCTTGTATACAGTTCAGTGGTTGTAACACTTGTTTAAAGCCAAACCTTTTATCTGTGGAAATTGCTCTTTACTGGGCTACTGCATTAAAAGATCTTTTTGAAATGTAGTTTATGAGGATGGGGAAGAGTTGGCAATCCAAGGAAAAAGACAAGAAAGAGATTAATTTTTAAGCCAAGACAGGAAACGATGCATGTCAGTTGTCTGTCTGCGCCCAGTCGGCTGCTGCCGCTGCCCTAGACTTCACCGTCACAGACCAAGGAGCCTGGCTCGACAGCACTGCTCCCTCAGCTTGAGAGGTTCAGTTTGGGTACAGACACTGCAGTCCAGGGGCTGTTTGATGGTCTCTGGAAACACCCAGACATTACAGTACTTAAAATTCTAGGTTTCATTATCTGGAGATAATGCTTTCTCTGTGGTTTACTCATTGAAAGAATGTTAAGATTAAAGGCTGGTGAATTTGTGACAGTCTTTTTGGAGAAGCAGTGAGTTTTGAGAAGGAGGATGGCTCAGGGAAGAGTTTAACAGAAGCTACTAAACTTCCCGAGCAAGGCCGGAGTTGGCCTGAGGCCCGGCGCTCCAGGTGCGTCAGGCGCAGTCAGTGGCCGAGTGTCTGTCCCCGGGGTAGGGAGGAGGCCAAGGAGAGGATGTCTAGGAAGGCAGCGTCTTCCCTGAGGGCAGCCACGCCAGGCGCCAGGACTCCCTGTGCCTTGAGTTGTCCACAGTTCGTGGTGGTGCTGACACTCGTATCTCACACCTCCGCAGGGTAGGGCTCCAGAGGACTTCCTGGTGTGCCCTTCCCGCCACACCAGTGGCCAGTGTGTCGTGAGAGTGTTTGTCGTAGTGCCCCATCCCTGTGTGATTTCTTAAAGAAACAGAGAGGTAAGGAATGGAATAAACAGGATAGAAAACCACTGGGCCTTGAAGACATGTTTCTTACATTAATTGATGATTTACAGTCATTTTACATTTTTATATTTTAGTTTCTGTCCCCTTTGGGAAAGTTCTAAATGGTGGACTGGCCCAATTTTCACTGGGAATGAAACTGATGTTCCTGCAGGAAGTATGGAGAGGCTGGCCTCCCTGGGAGGACCCAGGCCCTGCCTGCCGCCATCAAGGCCTCCTCCCCTCCCTGTGCCCAGCCTCGGGGTGCTCCCCCTGCCTCTCACCCGGGCTGAGGGGGTGCAGCTGCCTTGCTGACAGGCCAGTGCATGTCACGAGCTCATGGCAAGGAGTAGAGGGTAACACCGTGGCGAGGAGACCACGAGGGGTTATGCTTAATTGACACAGAGGGAGCTGTGCGTACTCATTCCATCGTTAATCTTTACCTCTCTGATTCTCCTTAGCGGCTCTTCCAGGAGTGCCTTAATCACACAAGCTTTCAGGGCGTGGCACGGACCTGCCACACTAGGCATGCGGTGCATGTTTGTTGCGTGCTGGGCATGCCCTCTGCCCCTACAAACTTACAGTGTAGGAAAGTAAACCAGCAGGTGAAATTGCATAGCTTGGCGTCTGGTTTGAGGTGATGAGAAGCTTTAAGGGACCTGTGTTCCACTGGGATGAAGCACAGCCAGTGTTCAGCCTGTGAGCACTTTGTGGAGTCTCTCAGGGTTTGGGTGCTTCTATGTCATAGTTGTTATGTTTTCTGTTCTTCATAAGTTCTTGCAATTAGGGTCTGTTACTAATACTGTGAATCTGAAAAAGTTTTAATTGATGAAGTAGATGGTTATTTTAGAATAAACTTTTTAAAGAAAGGAGACACCTTCTTGGTACCCCTCCCGCCCAACCTCACACACGGACCCTTCACCCCAAGCAGCTAAATTCAAAATTCCTTTGTTCTGTGTCCTTTTGTCCCTGGACTTTACCTCACAGCCTCAAGCTTGCCCCATACTCTCTCTCAGACTTAGAAATTGGTTGAAATTACTGAGTGACATTAAATTTAGAGCCCCTAAAATGTGCTAGGCTCTGTGTCAGACCCTGCAGGCTGTCAATGAGAAAAATCTCATGGAGGACGGACCCAGAAACGGATGGCCAGGCTAGCGACACCTGGGGCGATGCCCAGAGCGGGGGGCGCGGTCTGCAGCTCCCTCTCTGCCCCATGCACACGAGCTGGGGATGCGAGGTGAAGGACACTGGGTACTGAGGCAGGAGAAGGGAGCCCAGCTTTTCACCCTTCGACTCCATTTCCTCCTAGATGTGACTCACATCACGTCCCCTCACATGTCATTGGTAAGGTGACCAAGTCGCGTAGTAGGGCCATGACTCACCCCAAAGCGGATAAGAAGGGCTGTCCTGCCATATGGCCAGAGGGTCCACAAGTGACCCCTGACTCCCACTCCCCTCTTCTACTTGTGGGATTTATTACACTTCGTAGGAGATTGAGAAAACATGGCTATACAAAAATAGAATACTAATTACCCATTCTCCCTCCACCCAGAGATGATCACCACGAACTTTCTGATGTTTGTTACAGATAATACATAATCATTCTTACAAATGGGATCATGTTACCTGCAGCTTGGTAACTTGGGAGTTTTTAACATTAAATATGAACATATGAACATATGTTCTCATGACAGTTAGTAGATGATTATTTCATCATTAATAAGAGCACTTCATTTAGGGTATATTGTGGTTTTAAACCAACCCTGTATTGATGGTCACTGATTGACCAATTTTTTTATGTTATGAACCAGACTTTCTATAAAGGGTCAAATAGTAACTTGTGGACCACATATGATCTCTGTCTTGTATCCTTTTTTTTAAAATAACCTTTTAAAAAACCATACTTAGATCACAGACCATGTGGAAACAGGCCCAGCCTGAATTTGGTCTGTGGGCTGTAGTTTGCCGACTCCCAGCATAAACAGTGCTGTGACACGTGGCCTGGACAGCAGCTTGGGCGTGCCAGCCCCTGTCCTCTGGATGCACTCTTATGAGTGGAGTTACTGCTACTGAATGGTTGGTGCTAATTTTAAGGCTCTTCATCAGTACTATGAAATTACCCTCCAGAGAGGTTATGCCCGTTAGCATCCTCACCATTAGTGTTTGCAAATGCCGTTTTTCCTATCTCACCAAGATGGGATATTTCTTTCTTTTTTTTTGCCATTTGGGGAAGAAATAAATGATATCTAATTGTCTTTTGAGTTTTCATTTCTAAAATAGGTAGGATGCTGGCTAGTTATGTTTCTTGAGTGGTTATTACATGGTTACCCTTTTTTTCATTGGTGTATTTATTGTTCTTATTACAAGAGTTCTTATAAAGAAATTACACAAAATTTTTTCTGTTTTCTTAGCTGTGCTCTTCACATTTTCTGGATTTTGTGTTCTGTTGTTACAGAGAAGTTTTTTGTTTCACCCCTGAAATCAAATCTGCTTCTGCTTCATGAGTTTTTCATGTTGTGAAATGCTTAAACCAGGCCTTCAGACCCCAAGATAGCTCAGCTGCTTTTTCCTCCCATCTCTTCTGGTTCGTGTATCATTTACGTTTAATGCACCTGGAATCAATCTCAGTGGGGATCAGACTGTGTGGTTTTCTGCGTGGTTAGCCAGTTGTCCGCTTTCCTGGCTGGTCCGCAGTGCAGTGCTTGTTGCCTGTGAAATTCTTGGCTGCACGATGGGGTGGCTGTGCCAGCTGCTGAGGTGGGAGGTGGAGCCGGCCAGGTGTGTCTTACTTGGCTTGCTTTGGGGCTGCGGTGGGGGCTCAGAAATAGTCCCATTAGAAAGTGCGTCAGAACCGCAGTCCACCGCTCTGGTGCAGGCTTGCTCTCTGTTCTGGAGTCTGCAGTGAGGAGGGCCATCGGCAGGGGAGCATCTGTGTCAACACCTAACTGGAAGGTGTGAAGGGACGAGGAGGATGGGCAGGTACAGTGGGACCCTGGGAGATGCAGTGAGCACTCCGCAGACTGACTATGTGCCAGGGACTCCTTAGAAGGGAGGGAGACAGCCTTCAGGTTCCTTCAGCTGCGATTCTGCCTGCCCGTCCACCGTGTCAGCTGTGTTCAGTTACCCAGAGGGATTCGTACAACCCCCCAACACCCACTTTCTGTCTTTAGCCTGAAGGCCAGCTGGAAATCTGCAAGATGTACAAGCAGTCTTTCTGTCAAATGCATTCCCATTTACTTGCAGTAAAGAAAATTAGCATATTAAATGGATTTAAACTCACTCTGAACCTAAATGCTGTCATCTTCACACACGTGCATTTGAGTACGTGGATGAATCTTTCTTGTGAGTCTTTTGATGTGCTGGTGTTTTGAAATCAGGAAGGAGATTAAGGAGGATGCTGGCAACGCATGTTTGTTTTACACAAGCAGCAGAGGAGGCTGTTAGACTAGGAAGAGCACAGGAATGTACTGGATGGTGAACTATTTTCTAAGTTGGTATCAAAGATAAAAATTTATTACAAGGATGTTTTTATAACCTTCTACACAGCAGAAGAACACCATAAATGTAAATTAATACCAAATGGCAGACTGGGAAAATGTTGCCCATCCAAAGGGTTGACACTTTTCCTGGTAGAGGACATGTCCGGTGGGGTTCCGTGAGACGACACTTAGCTCATCAGACCAGAGACCTCGCCGTGGAATTAGGACTGGAGAAGGGCCTCCCTCGCTGCAGTGGGCAGGGGCGGGCTGGTGGCCTTCCCGGAGGCAGGGGCCCTCGGGCCTATATCTGCAGCCAGCACTCTGACTGGCAGGTCCTCTTCCGGGGCTTCATTCCGGGAAGGGTTTCGTGTGGAGGTGAGAAGATAAGGGTGCTGCCTTTGTGCAGTTTGTAGAAGTGGGAGGAAGCCTCAGTGTCCTATACTAGGGAGCGGCCTTGTTAGATGCTAGTGTTTGTACCAGGGATGCGAGGAAGCCCCCGCCTGCAGAAATGGTAACAAAAGTGAATGTGAGAAAGACACAGCGCATTTCCCTAGTCTGTAAAGAAAGTGGATGTGTATACACATCTGTCTGTGTGGCCGGAAAAGAGGCTCAAAAAATGTTCGTCACGTCCTAGAGATTATGTCTGGGGGGAGTTATATATAATACAAGGAAAGATAGAGCTTTTGTTTATTTTGGCATTTTTCCCTGAGTACAGATTGCCTTTTAATAATCTTAAAAGAACTGTTCACTCCAAACATGCCACATCTCAAACGGTGTTGGTAGGCCTGTGGCACACTCATTTTCATCTCTCTCCCTCTAAGGAGAAACGACTAGGACTTGCACTAGAAACACCCACTAGGGCCGGGCGGCTCCGTGACTTGGTGCAAAGGAACTGGGCTCCTGGTCGGAGGCGGAGCCTGGGCACTGCAGCTGCTCCCCCACAGCAGGGGAGGTGGGGGGGCGGCCTCCAGCGCCATCTGCCGTCAGGCCAGGGGACGAGGGCAGCTTTGTCAGTGAGACGTGCTTGTGCCTGCAGTGTGAAAACACACTTCTGCACGGGGGCCATGAGCCATATCCAAGGGTCACGCCGCCTGGGGAGTCACCCCCAGTGTGGAGCAGGAGGAAAACAAGGACTAGGAGGGGCGGGCAGGCCTTGGACCGCAGATGGCGTTTGGAGGCCTGTGATCTCTCTGTGTTGCAGCCTCCCAGAGTGAGATGCTTGACCAGGATCTGGCACCCCAACATCACAGAGACAGGCGAGATCTGCCTAAGGTGAGTGCCTCTTCACATCTTCTGCATTTGTGCACCCTGTGGGCGAATGTGGGCTTTCTGACATGTTTTCTCTGCTGAGAGGAGATTCTGAGGGATTTGGCAGTTTTTAAAGTAACTGGAATGGTCTCGGGGTCTGCACCGCAGCCAGGCCTTGGCCTCGGCCTCCACACCTGCACCCTCTGGGGGCCAAGGGCCCACTAGTCAGCACAGCCCGGACTCCCTCTGAGGTTCCTTGCCCGTTCCCCTCCTATATGAATGAGGCCACGTTCCCTCCATGTGACCAATTTTAGCTAAGAGGGAAAAATATGATTAATGAAATCAGAGAAAAAATGTGGATGACAGGCTTAGGAGACCTGGGTACTTGTGCTAAGATGTCCTCTCTTTACCAAAATGGGCTTGGTGTGTCTAAGACATCTTTGAAGCAGGTCAGCTTTCCGAGAGCTTCACGTCAGTTGTAGCCTGTGTGTCCCAGCTTTCCAATGGCAGAGGATCTGGGATCAGCTGTTTCCTGCCTCTTAAGGTTGCTGTCACGAATGTAGAGGACTGGAGAAGATGTGTTAGGGGGGGTTGTGTTAAGTTGAGCATCTGGGCTTTGTCTTTCTGTGTCTCATCGCTGTCTCTGGTGAGATTGTGTGAATGTGGGGGCTCAGGTGCCAGGTGGCCTGGGCTTGAACACTGCCCAGCACCGGCAGCAGCATGTCTGTGGGGAGTCCCCCCACGGCCACTGCTGTGTGTCCCAGTTTGGGAAGTGGGCCTTGAGCTGTCGCTCCTTCCTTCTGTGCTCTAAGCTCTTGTGCCGGCTGCTGCCCAGGGATCAACAGCCACCTGTGAAGATGCACAAACCAGGCCATACCAGTGCCTTGCTGCTGGCATAGCAGGAGCCCTTTTTCTTTCTTAAAAGCACAGTTAGGACCCATTCTCCCATTTCATTTTTTGTATATGGTGTCCCTTTTCCATATTGGCCTCAGTTTTTATAGATACTAAAAATGTATTTTGTAAGAGTATACCTTTTTTTAAGGCACCTTTCTTTTTCAGTATCTGTCCTTGAAGTATTGGAACTTTACAAATCTGCCATCTTCAGGTTCAGGTCCCCAGCATTTCTCCCCCTAGGCTTTCGCCTGTGCTTCTCCCCTGGGCATTCTCCACACCCCACTTCCCTGTCACGTCCCACTTCTCGGTCAGAATTAGGTCCAGAGTGGGAGCTACTCTTTTCATTTTTGCTGTCTTCTGAGAAACCGGATTTTTAACAAAGCATGACAGGAACTTGACAAATGGTCACCTGCTGCAGAAGCCAGAAACCTTTAAGGCAGATCATTGATAGGGGTGCTTGGCCTCACAGGGACCTGCAGAGGGACGCGTGGGGGTGAAACGGTGCTCAGGTTGCCGGGTACAGGAGAAGGACTCAGTGTGTGAGAGAGAACTGGCTCTGTCTCTCTGTGTACACCTGTAGGCTTCTCATTGATCCCTCAGCTGTAAGGTGTACACTGAACTTGTATTTCCCTTGGTCTTTTCGGCTGATGTCTAGGGATTTAATTGAGGGAAATAATGTGCTAGGTTGGTACAACGACCACCTTGTTTGTGGAAAACTAGACAGTGTCCAGCAGTGCCTTGGCACACAGCTGACCCGTGGTGTCTCCTGAGCAGAGGGAGAGGCGAGCCTCCCCACTGCCCCTGGGCTGCGGCGACCGCCAGGTGGCCCAGACCAGCACCTGGTGCTCTGTGGGGCCTTGTCTAGTACACAGGGCACTTACTCCTCCTAGTGAGGCATGCCCTGCTCCTTCGAAGCCCCAGGCCAGGAGTCCAGTGCTTGCATTTGAGACTTTTTTCCTCTGGAGTCTAAGCTTCCAGTGAGTCCCCGGGGCCCCCTCTGCCCCCTCGCCTTAGTGCCCTCTCTGATGGCACCACAGGTTCTGTCCCCTGAGCTCCTGGGGACTGTCATCTGTTGAGGTGGGGCTAGAACCACCATCTTTCCTCTGTGGCTCCGCCAGACATGGGCACAGCCTACCCAGTGGCACTTGCTCTCCTGTTAGCTGCCATTGCCCTTGGTGGGCACACCTGGCCTCCAGGTGCAAAGCCCTCCTGCTCTGGCTGTGCTCTTGATGGGGGGGGTGCAGAAGGACACTGACCGGGCAGCAGTGAGCCTGCTGGCTGGCTTCCCTCCTCAGCTAATGCTGCTTGAGCCCAGACACAGTGGGGATCTGTCACATTCTCTGCTTGGTGGGGCTTCCTGCTGGTGCGGAGATCGGCGTTAAACAAGAACACAACAAGGGCCCGGCTGAGGACTGCAGTGAGGCCCATAAAAGAGAAGGAGGTGTTAGACGAGAAGTCATCCTTGTCCCTGCCTTAGTAGACATCTCTCATTGGATCTTACAGACCACTAGGATTCGGCAGATGGTTCCCAAAAAGTTACTCAAAAGTTGAAGGGTTTCATTTCAACAAGTCACTGATGCCTCCATAGGGTGAAAGACGTCCACCTTGCTGGACTGGGGTAGGGCACAGGAAAGGCTTTCTTGTTTTCTTCTTAAAGCTCAGTGTGAGCTTCAGTGGTCAGTTAAGGTTGGTTTTATGTATTGTAACTGAACTTCATGAACAATTAAGATTATAGCATTGATTTAAATTCTGCATTATTTGTATTTTCTCCTGATCTTAATTTATATGAATTTGAATGTGCTCTGATACAAAAAAATTTTTCATAGTAACAATTATGGCTGTGGAGAGCCTGAAACTGACATGTTAGCTTAGGAACTGTTAAGGTAACATCAAAGCAGCAGGGTGATACTCAACAATGCCGAACCGATTTTTCACCAGAAGGGAACTTGACAGTAAATTGTAATTTATAATGAAAATGACTCTCAGCTTAAGAAATAGGACCTCACAGTACCTCTGAAGCATGCAGGCTCTGAGCATGGGTCTCCCACCTGTGGGTGAGCGCCATGCAGAATTTTGTGTTAATTTACCTTCATCCTCAAGAGCCTTTGAGCATTCTAAAAAGCAACAAGAAAACAAAACCAGCTGGGAAGAGGTGTGCAGGAGCTCACATGGTCCACCTGCAGCCCCGGGTGGGCTGCCTGGGTTGAAGGACACACCCAGTCACCAGGTGTGTGTCCCTGGGTGTGTTTCTCCTATGTGCTTTGCTCACCTCTGCAAAAAGGAGAGAGTGGCGGCTCCCTCATGGGGTGCTGAGGCGTTAAGAGAGTTTAGGATCATGCTGGCGTCGGATAGGCGACTCTAAGTGCCAGTTTTCGGTGTCATTGTGGTCACTGTCATTTTCTGAGCGTTACGTTGACAAATGCTCTTTGTGTGTTCTGTTCTACGCATGCTTTTCCCCTGGTTAAAGCTTGCGCGCCATCCAGGGTTAAAGACCTGTGTATACACACGAGATCAGATGAACCCGTGTGCAGCTTTGGCAGTGGAAAAGGCCTTCTGCAGCAAGGCAGGGAGCTGCAAAGCCACAGAAGGAGTGGGTGCCCTCAACAGTGCAGTTCCCAAAGTCAGGACGCGTGCTGAGGGGGCCTGGCTGCGGCGGACAGGGCTGTGTCTGGGGCTCTCGTGGCTGGAGGCTGCCCCTTGCTCACCGCTGTGCCTCTGTGTCTGTTCCAGTTTACTGAGAGAACATTCGATCGATGGCACCGGCTGGGCTCCCACTAGGACGTTAAAGGTAGAGTGCAATGCCTTAGACCACAAGCCTTCCCTGGAGGCCTCTCCCACCTGTCATCAGCCACCTCTGAGAACAGGGGCGTCCTGGCTGTCCCATCCACGCGTAGCCAGCTCCCCCTCTTCCCGCCACCCACCTGCCTGCCTGGGGCCGCTCGGCCAAGCATGTACCCCGGTCACCTCCTCTGTCCTCATTCCTGCCCCCCAGCTCCTGGGAGAGGGTGGGGCACATTGCCACACTGCTGCTCTTAGAGGATGCTGAGGCCCAGAGAGATGGACCTTGGGCCTGGGGCCAGCTCTGGTTCTGTACGTGCCCACACCTGTGGGGGACAGCAGCAACTGGTACACAGACCTCCTTGTGGCCCAAAAGGACTGTCAGGTGTTGGGCATCACCCGTAGGCTACTGGGGAAGAACACAGAGTAGTAGTTTGGGGCCCTGTCCCAGAGCCAGGGGCACCGCAGACTGCACGACCCCTCCCAGGCTATGGTCTCCACTGCCCCGGGCAGCCGGCCTGTCCTCCTCTTGACACGTTGATCTTAATTTATATGAATTTGAATGTGCTCTGATACAAAAAAATTTTTCATAGTAACAATTATGGCTGTGGAGAGCCTGAAACTGACATGTTAGCTTAGGAACTGTTAAGGTAACATCAAAGCAGCAGGGTGATGCTCAACAATGCCGAACCGATTTTTCACCAGAAGGGAACTTGACAGTAAATTGTAATTTATAATGAAAATGACTCTCAGCTTAAGAAATAGGACCTCACAGTACCTCTGAAGCATGCAGGCTCTGAGCATGGGTCTCCCACCTGTGGGTGAGCGCCATGCAGAATTTTGTGTTAATTTACCTTCATCCTCAAGAGCCTTTGAGCATTCTAAAAAGCAACAAGAAAACAAAACCAGCTGGGAAGAGGTGTGCAGGAGCTCACATGGTCCACCTGCAGCCCCGGGTGGGCTGCCTGGGTTGAAGGACACACCCAGTCACCAGGTGTGTGTCCCTGGGTGTGTTTCTCCTATGTGCTTTGCTCACCTCTGCAAAAAGGAGAGAGTGGCGGCTCCCTCATGGGGTGCTGAGGCGTTAAGAGAGTTTAGGATCATGCTGGCGTCGGATAGGCGACTCTAAGTGCCAGTTTTCGGTGTCATTGTGGTCACTGTCATTTTCTGAGCGTTACGTTGACAAATGCTCTTTGTGTGTTCTGTTCTACGCATGCTTTTCCCCTGGTTAAAGCTTGCGCGCCATCCAGGGTTAAAGACCTGTGTATACACACGAGATCAGATGAACCCGTGTGCAGCTTTGGCAGTGGAAAAGGCCTTCTGCAGCAAGGCAGGGAGCTGCAAAGCCACAGAAGGAGTGGGTGCCCTCAACAGTGCAGTTCCCAAAGTCAGGACGCGTGCTGAGGGGGCCTGGCTGCGGCGGACAGGGCTGTGTCTGGGGCTCTCGTGGCTGGAGGCTGCCTCTTGCTCACCGCTGTGCCTCTGTGTCTGTTCCAGTTTACTGAGAGAACATTCGATCGATGGCACCGGCTGGGCTCCCACTAGGACGTTAAAGGTAGAGTGCAATGCCTTAGACCACAAGCCTTCCCTGGAGGCCTCTCCCACCTGTCATCGGCCACCTCTGAGAACAGGGGCGTCCTGGCTGTCCCATCCACGCGTAGCCAGCTCCCCCTCTTCCCGCCACCCACCTGCCTGCCTGGGGCCGCTCGGCCAAGCATGTACCCCGGTCACCTCCTCTGTCCTCATTCCTGCCCCCCAGCTCCTGGGAGAGGGTGGGGCACATTGCCACACTGCTGCTCTTAGAGGATGCTGAGGCCCAGAGAGATGGACCTTGGGCCTGGGGCCAGCTCTGGTTCTGTACGTGCCCACACCTGTGGGGGACAGCAGCAACTGGTACACAGACCTCCTTGTGGCCCAAAAGGACTGTCAGGTGTTGGGCATCACCCGTAGGCTACTGGGGAAGAACACAGAGTAGTAGTTTGGGGCCCTGTCCCAGAGCCAGGGGCACCGCAGACTGCACGACCCCTCCCAGGCTATGGTCTCCACTGCCCCGGGCAGCCGGCCTGTCCTCCTCTTGACACGCCCTGGGCGTGTCGTGCCCTCCTAGGAACAGCTTCTGTTTGGGCAGCCCCTCTCCCTGGCAGGCCCCCACTTCCCCTGTGAAGCCTCTCCCCGCCAGGTGGGCTCTCCGTGGGGCTCTTCTGTGGAGGCTCTGCGGACATGCCCATCTCTCTGGCTCCCTCCTCCTGGCCAAGAGCTGGTATTCACCCACAGCTCCGGCCCAGGCCCGGGCCCACTCACATCCAAAGGACGGGAGGGATGGATGGGCACGGATGAGAGAAAGCAGAGAGGGGCAGTTAGAGCCACCGGCCAGCAGAGTCCTGGGTGCACAACGTGAGCGCAGACCAGAAAGAGGCAGGGCTGGAGCTGAGGCTGGGAAGGCTGGGAGGGAATCTGCAATCGCGCCACAGATCCTGAGTCAGCCCAGAGAGAACAGCATTGATCGCAGTTTTATTTCAATGAAAATTTCTGATCTTTGTTAGAAAATACTAGTTTCACTTGATTTTTTAAATACCTAGAACAAAATTATTAAGACTCAGGGGACAGTGGGTGATGAACGTACCTCTGATCCCCAAGAGGCCATAGATGCAAAGAGAGCAGATTTTATTCTAAACATGGCTCTTCAGGAGTCCGAGCTAAGCTTGGTGATGGCAGGTAATGGGTGGTGGAGGTGAGGGCCTCTGTGCAGATGCGCCCACACTCTGTGACGGCCCCGGGGTGCGCTCACGGGGCCCTGGCGCCGCCAGGAGCACAGTTTATGTTGTCTCTGATTTTATATTCACCACCTGTAGCTGCCCATCTTTGAATATCCCAGAGTTTGTTGTTCTGTTGAAGAGAAACTACTTTATTGTCTGTCTTAGGAAACACAAAGCATGCTAAAGATAGATTTTGATATTTTGATATGAAATACGTATTTCTCGGTCATGGATTTAGAAGACTTGAAGTACACAGGAGCCTGCAATCATTTCTTTCTTTCTTTCTTTCTTATTTCAGGATGTAGTCTGGGGATTGAACTCACTGTTCACTGTAAGTATGGTGACCAGAACCCCAAGCTGTTCTTGGGTCCCCTGGCCGCTTGCTTCACACATCACACCAAGGATAACACAAGGGGACTAAAAACACCAGCGTGTACGTGCTGAGCCCTCTTTTCTGTCATCAGTCAGAAGAACAGTGGGACGAGAACCAGAGGGCTCTGGAGTGACATGCAGGCAGGTCGTGGGGCAGGGAGCAGAGCGTCCCACGCCTGCCCCACTGGAGTGGCTGCTGCCACCCGCACGGGCACAAGGCCAGCTCCATCTTGCAGCCTGCCCCACGGGCAGCCATGGCTCTGGGCGCCTGGCCCAGCCCCGCTCTGCGTCTGCCATCCCCTGCAGCCCTGGCCGCAGCCCCCCTCCGTCCCAGGCCTCCAGCTCTGAGTGAAGGGGTGCGCGGCCACCCAGCCCTTGGGCTTTTCACAAACCCAGAACACCTTGGAGTTGTTTTCTAAGGTTCTGTGAGCTGCCCAAGTTGGCTGTCCTCAAAACATAGCATGACACAGGCAGGACGGGAGGGGGGAGGAGCTGGGGAAAAGCCAGGAGGGTGACGGGGGCCGGCGTTGGGGTGTCGCCTGTGTCACTATGCGAGCCTTTGAGTTTGCACTTTCTGGTCATAAGAGAGCTTTAAACGGAATAAGCTTCAGGGATCTGTCTCTGAAAAACAAGAAGAAAAACTGACTTTTGGTAAAACCGAAAGTTCCTCTGTAAAAATGAGCCCATCCCACAGCCCCACAGCACGGCAGGCCGATGGGGGCTTCCTGGCCCCGGGCAGATGCGCCCCCACAGCTCAGCCACCCAGGGCGGGGCTGCTGCCCTCCCCTTGTCTGAGGCCCCAGTGCTCTTGCTCTTATCTTCAGTAAAACAGAACCAGCAGAGCCTCAAAATCACGCCCTGAGCCCGGCCGCCCTCTGCCTCCCGTCCGACGTCATCAGGTGATGCCTGTAACCAGAGCGGCGAACCAATGCTTCCTGGTCTCTGGCCCCTGGGTCTGCGCGGGAAGGCGGTGCCCAAGGGGGCGGCCGTCTGGACAGGCTTTGGCTGCTTCGGTCACTTTGCTGTGATTCTGTTTTTGGCTTTTTCAATGAAGTAAATGCAGTTTTACCTATGGAACTGTGAAGGCTGGAATATGATTTAAAATCTGCCTGGTGGTTGTGCTTCATTTTTCCTTTTTTTAAAAAAGAATTCTGGTATAGTCCCCATCTCTCCAGGTACTCCAAACCTTGCAAATGATAAAGACCAACCAAAATTGCTAATTAATTCTATAGTGGTTATTCTAACCAGCATATTCATTTTAGGCCAAATATATGGTAAAAGATAAAGAATTTTATGGATCCAGTGTAATCTTTTATGCACTGCTGTCTCACATAATACTTACTTTATATTTTTGCCTATTTCTAGGACTTGGGAGTCTAATTTCCCAACTGTAAACATCACAGAGGTTTAGTTTTTCTTTGCTGTATTTGGACAAACTGTATGTATTTATCCCCCAATTTAACATTTCTCTTGGGGATAAATACAGTTGTCTTTATAGTGATCCCATGATGGCTTTGAAAAGCAGTGATTCATCATAAGAACAAATCTCATGTCCCTGCTTTTTAAGAGGAGGACTAGGCAGTATAGAGAGAAGACGGAGCCTCCAGTCTGAAACCCCTGCTATTTCCTGGGCAGATGGGGAGGAGCCATTCCAGGGCTTCTCTGAGGTAGAACGGGTCTGGTGCGCCCTCCTGAGGCCCAGGGATACCAGCCTGACGCACTGTCCTGAATTTGGTCGGGCTCTAGCCACCATTGCTCCTGGGTTGTGAGCATGACGTCCGTAGAAGGTGAGGTAAGAGGTCAGGGGGTTGTCCAGTTATGGTCAGAATGGAAACCGTACACTTATGGATCAAAGTTGAGAGGAAATGAGTTTTTAAGGAAAAAAGGATTTTTATTTGGAAATGCTGGTGATGAAAGTTGTTTTTCATTCTCCAATTATCAAAATAGCATTAGAAATGATTGCAGTTTCTTCCACTTTCACCAAACTTTGCACAATTACATATAAACATATCCCTGACTTCTTTCAGTCAACCATTTATTTCCTTTTTGAAAGAGACTCTCCCCCCATGTCCAGTACTTTTACATCAGGAGAACCTCAGTTCTTAGTGGGATTTCTCAACTCTCTAGGTCCTTCTACCATTTGCTGATAAGATTTCTGATGCCTGGTTCATAAAATGAAGACTTGTAACAGAAAAACAGTTTCTTTCCATTGTTTACTCGAGTTACTCTCTTTTTAAGGATCTTTTGAATTTTGATGATCCACTGAATATTGAAGCTGCAGAACACCATTTGCGGGACAAGGTAAGCTAGTCACAGGAATATTCTAGGTTGATGTGTTTCATTTTTTTTAATGTCTTTTAATAAGATATGTGTGAAATTGAGAATGGTAGAACTCAGGACTGAGTTTGAAGTAATTTATCAATAATGTGTTAAATAACAAGTGTGAGTGGTCCCACCGTCAGTAGTCAGACCTCTGCACTGCCTTCGGGCGGCTCTGGCCACGTTGTGTTGCTCAGCAAAGCCTTGGTTTTGGCCGCAGTGCCGATGAGCCCCAGCCCCCCCCCCACTTCTTCAGGGGGCTCCCCACTTGTCATTGTAGGACTTCCCTACTCATCAACCCTGTGCACTAAACCTTGTCAGGGAAAGAAAGCAATGGTAACAGGGAACACTCACATGGCCAGGTAGGAAAGATGGCATAAATGTCTATCATTTTATTCTTCTTGAAAGGTTGTTTCTTGCTCTGATTATGAAATAAGGGGAAGAGTGGTGATTTGTAAACTTTTAGCCCCAGTAAGGCGGGCCTAAAGCTCTTCAATCAGGACTGCCTCCACGTGAATTCTTAGACAAGCCCTCCCCGGCCCCACTAATGTTCTTACACGGAGGTCCTGTAAAGCCATTCTGGGAAGACGGGTCTGGACACAGGGCCTTCCTGATGGCAGTAGCCATGGCTCATCCCTGTCTGTGGTCAGGTTCTGGCCTGGCTGTCATCATGACCTTGACCACACTTGGGGGCCTCACTCTCCCAATTCACAAAATGAAGAGTCTTGGCATCTCTTCTGCACAGAGCATGTGTGTTTATGTCCCCACCCCCTGACCTGGCACAGGGTCTCGCACACAGTAGGCACCCAGAGCAGTAGGGAAAGGGCGCTCGGCCCCGCAGGTCTCCGATGAGCCTGCCACCTTGGCAGCTGGGGGACGGAGGCCACGCCCGCATCGCTCTCAGCTTGGCCCTGACGTGCTGCCCCCCTCACTGACCTGCTCCTCTTCCTTCCCTCCCAGGAGGACTTCCGGAGCAAGGTTGAAGACTACATGAAGCGCTACGCCAGATGATAGAGGAGGGGACTGCAGGGCTGTGGGCTGTGTGCTGCCGGTTTGTCTCCGTCTCAGACCGAGAGGGAGCCGCCTCCCCTCCTCGCGCTCCCTCAGCCCCACCGGGTCATCCGAGTCCTGCGACCATGTCCTGAGGAAGAACCTCTTCACGACTGCCCACTGTACCTGGAGAGCTCCACGTAAATACAGCAAGAAAATGTGCTTGGGGTTCTAAAGAGTTGTCTGCTTACCTTAACATGTTTACTTTTTGGAAATTGTACTGTGTAGGCTGTTGGTGAGATTCTTGAGAAGCTGTAATGAGCTCAGAATTGAGGCTGGAGCTTGCTTCTTCCCTTTCCAAACAAAACGGCCCCTGCACAAGTGCTGACGGTGTGCTCAGTGTAGCTCGCAGACTGGCCTAAGAAACCCGCTGCAAACTGTGACGGACGCGAACTCGTAACTCCTCCCACAGATGCTGGCCCCGCCTACATGTCATGAGGCTTCCAGAGTGCATAGAGTCATTCACTGTAGATCTCTTACTGAAATGCATATTTTATTTAATGTAAGTATATTTTGGAACAGATTTGTAATTTGTACAATTTAATGCTTTAATTATTTTTTTCTATCTTCATTTAGTTTGTATTTTCATTGTCTAGAGCAGACAGAAAGATGTTGGGTCAAGCAATTATTGCAGAGAAATACAAAGAAAATATGAAAGACACATTACTCATTCTGTCCAAATGCAACAAGAATTTGGCTTTTAAAAATTCAGCTTTTACTTTCAGGTCCAGATGGGGTAGGACATTTCAGACCCCTTTGAAACCGGATCTAGATGATTTCAGAACAAAATGCAGGGTGCCTTCTCACATGCTGCCCAGAGGCAACTGGCTGAGCCCAGGCCAGCTGGGGGGCTTGGTGCTTTTGCAGTGGTCTGTGCCTGTGAGCCAGGAGGCAGTGCCTGTGGAGCTGCTGACCAGAGAGCCGGACCCCCTGGGTCCTGAGGGACTGGAGAGAGCTCAGGAACCAGCCCAAACAGTGCCTCGTGCCTCTGGGGCCATAGCTGTGGCCTGCCGAGTTTACTGGGGTTCTGGGCCCTGTTGAGGGGGGAGCACTCCAAGGCCTTGTAGGTATGGGAGTCAGCAGACGGCCGTATGGGGTGAGGTCGGCGCACTTCAGAGGAAGAACACCAACAAGGCCAGCGGATTTATGCCAGCATTTAGACACTGGAGCCAGTGACATCAAGTGCAAGATAAATGTTTATATGGTTTCATCTGCTGCTTGCCTAACATACTCAGGTATAACTGACAGCCTCCTTAGACCCGACTTCCCCATCTGCCATCTGCCATCTACCATCTACCTGGCCTGGTTCATTTTTCATGATTTATATTATAATCTCTGATTCTGCGATCAGTCTGTCCTGGAGGTCAGCACGGGAGGGATGCAGGCCCTGCTTCCCCTTTGAAGCCAGGAATTGTTCCCATTAGACTTGAGGTGGTGCCAGCTAACAGGCCACATGGCTGGTGCACAGAGCAGAATGGGTAGGACTGGGTTCAGGGCATGGCGGCATCTCAGCAGCTCAGGGCCTGTCAGGGATACACATAACCCTGCTTCCGAGCCCTGGGAGACACTGCAACTTACACACTATTAACTGAAGCTCTGCCCAGCATTGCAAGAACTTGCCAGCCAGGCACTGAGCCTTCCTCCACTTGGTGGGTCAGGAGGGCAGCAGCCGCCATCCCACAGGCCTGGCTCCTGCCCCTGTGACCCAGGGCATGCGGCTGGCTTCCTGGAGCCAACCCTCGGGGCCATCTCACTGCCGTCCGGGCAGCCCCCGGGCCGCACGGCTGGTGGTACAGGTGGAGGTGGAAGAAATGATGGCATTGCCTGTGGTTTAACAGAAACATGCTATTGGAGGTAAAAGACTGCCATCTGAGCCAGCCTGGAAGGGTAATAATCTGTTTATTTTGACCTCAGAGTATTTGCACAGAGAAAAATACTTTATCAGGGGGGGATCGTAATTATTCAAAAAAGACATTTCCACATAATGGGATCATCCCTTTCTGCCCAGTGGAAATCCCTTGGCAGTATTTTGCCTCTCCGCTCCCCCAAGCCACACATCTTAAGGGGCTCTGCCCATCACCATGAGCAGCTGGTATTGTGCTGGTAGAGGGCCTGTGGCATCTGTTGGTGGCTGTGGGACCCTGATTTATAGGCCTTTTGGTTTTTTGGGCTCTGCCCCACTTGAAGGCCAGAGTGTCTGGGTCCAGCACATGTGGCCCACCACCCTGGTGATAGCTGAGGACTTCTCATCTACCAGGGGTGGGAAGGGAGGCGTGGATATTGGGCCTCTGGCCAAAGAGCTCAGCTCCGGAGCTGGAACGGTATAGGGAGGCGCTGGGGAAATGCAGCCCCTGGGTAGCTCTGACGTTCAGCCGGGTTCCCATGACTCCTCTGCCTACGATTTGGTATGTCCGCGGCATGTTTTTCAAGTCCATTTAGAAGAAAGCAGTTCCAGGGGAGGCCGCTCAAAAGGAAAAGGCTTTCCCTTGTCACCTTCCCTCAAATAAACCACCTACAAGTTGCCCAGCCGCCTCCCTGTGCAGTCTTCCCAAAAAGCCAGGGTGAGGGCATTACTGGGGTGCTGAGGACAGCCCCCCGGGTTCCTCTCCTTTTCCTCTGCAGCCTGGACCGCACTCCTCATCGGTGGCGCTCCCGTTCACGTCTTTGGCTCACTGCAGGACGCTGTCCCAGGGAGGAGTATTTCACGGCACAAGAGGCCTGGCCTCACCTGCCCTTATCTCCATGCCCTGAGAGCCTTACCGAGCTGTTTACATGATTCCCACTCACTACAGATTAAGTTGTCCAGAGAAGTCACTCCAGTACAAGAGTTGATGTAAAAACTGTTAGAGAGCTGGTTCAGACTGCGTTTAGCTAAAACATTTTCAATGTACAGTCTTTAAAAAGGAGCACACACATTATTAGAATTTGCCAGTTTAAATGTTTCAAAGTGTCCAGGCATATTTTCCTCTGCTGTTACATTCCAGGGACCCTGACACTTGTCTAGAAAGACTTTGTGGTGCAAGAGCAAGTGTCCTTCCCCATGACTCTCCCACAGCCAGGCCGATCTCAGCAGGGTCCCAGGCCCACTCTCAGGCCGTCTGGGGACAGAGCCATCATGTTGCTTATGGCAGCAGACACAGACTGCACAGCCCTTCTCTGAGCTCTGGAGCTCAGCAAAGTAACCCCGGAGGGCAAACCCCCAGGCTGCTGAGGGCCAGCCGGCCTCACACGTCTCGGAGGACAAAGCCCACCGTTCCTTGGAGTTGCTCTGTTGCCCACCCCATTCTTTAGAGAACTTCTGTGACAAAAAACCCACAAAATCCTATTAACACCAGACTTTTCACACTGGGTTATCAGGCAGAACTTTTTAAATAAAAAAATTCCAACAAGCTGTTAGCCACCAATTGCATTCCTTGGGGAGACCCTCCTTTTCCAGCTGGTGCCGTCTATTCTGGGATTGTTTTCACTTTGATCCACCTAAAAATGTTTAATCTTGGAAAGTCAGGTTTGCTATAAGTTCATGATTCATAAAATAAAATATGTCTAGCAAAACACTCATAGTCTTAGTAAAATAATGTTTTCCTTTTCCTTTGCCAAAGAAGAGCTTGGAAAATGAGACTGTCCCACCTCCTTCCTCCCACCTGCAGCCCTGCCTCAGACAGACCCCACAGCCTGGCCAGAGTGAGCAGAAGAGTCTGTGCTGCCCCTTGAGATTTCCACCTGTGCCCTGGATTTCCATAGGTTACCAAAATTGATTTACTGAAGAAATTGTGTTTTGAAAAAGTTCTCCAAAAACCCGTGATGGGGACCTTTTGTTAAGAATGTCAGTTTCTTTGTGTTGAGCTATATAAAAAACTAGATTATAATCTCTCTAAAAATGCATTTTAGGGCTCATTTATTTTCATGACCAAATTCATTGAGCCAGAATTCCTCTAGTAAATTCACTTTTTATCTTATGTCAGGTCCAGTTGTATAAAATAGTGCCTGCCCCAAGAGTTGTGGGTGCTGGAGGAGGGACTGTGGGCAGGCCCCAGGCACGGCAGCCTGGGAGAGCCGTCGGCAGGACCAGCAACCAGGAAGGAGCCATGGATGCTCAGCACCGCATGTGGTCTCCACATCAAGGCCCTGGTCCAGTTCGCGTGCAGGAATGTCCTTCCCCTGCTCTGCTGCCTGTGCGAGGCTTGTTGGGTGGCGGCCTGCAGGACTTCCTTGCCCGCACCGAGATGTCAGTGCTGGATCTTCCCCACCTCGCAGACCCCACCGACCTTCCTCACGACTCAGTGCCTCCGTGCAATGCGTGGGGCTCGATGTTAAGATATTTTATCTCATGAACCAGTTGTTGATCTTATCAGGTGTCTCCTTTCTAAAAATTTATTTCAACCTCCATAGGCCCCGTGTCCTTCCTTCTAACCAGCATGACATTGAGGAGGCATAAACTGGGACCTTGTTTCCTGTTCCTAAGATGTTTCAGCCTCAACTTAGTCTTAGAAGACCTGTCTGCCTGGGGAGCCCTGTGGCTCTCGACGGCACAGGTGGAGTCCAGTGGCCGGGGTCCCTGCCCTTGAATGTGCCTTCCCAGACCAGCGATGGCATGTGACAAACCAGTCACTGAGGAAGAGCAGCAGGGAGGGGGAAGACATGGCCAGACACCTGAGCGCGACCAAAATAAACTGATGGGCGGCCTCATCCCCCAAACAACCTCCCGCCATTCACGTCTTCCCCGCCTCCAGAATATGCGCCCTCGTGCCTGGCCCAGAGCCCATCGTGATTGGACCCCTCTCCACCCTGCCTGTGACTTCCAAGGACCCTGGCCTCAAAGGAGCACTTTCATGCCTTGTGATGAGGTCTGTTACCCTCCTCCAGCCCCTTTCAAGATTCAGTTGACGGTGTTGCTGCCATGAGGCCTGTCTACAGGCTGGCAGACATCTCCCGGGGCGTCCTCATCCCTGGGCTTCCGGAGGCACCAGGTGTGGCCTGCACTTGCTCACGTGTATTGCCGCCTATCCCAGGAGTCAGCCTCTGAAGCTTTTCAGCCATCCTGCAATAACTGAATGGGTTATTACGATGTGATTATTTAGTGTTGAGTAAAGAGCACAGGCACATCAGATGCAAGCCTGCTCAAGACAGCCACTGCACGGGAGGCTGGGGGTACCGGACAGCAGCCGAGGAGGGCAGGACACCACAGCTCCCACCCTGCTCTCAGCTCACAGACATCAAGTCCAAACGGTGAGCTCTGCTGGAGCGAGGGGGCTGTAAGAAAGCGCTGCAGAAAAAGAACTGTCCTGCCTCGGGATGAACATGATGCCGGAACTGAAGTGTAGGAATGAAAGAAACTTTTTCAGGGAAAAATACATTTAGTAAATGCAGTTGACTGCATCTCTGACTCAGAATCAAAAAGTCATAAGGCGACAATAGGCTAAAATGAAGTGGCAACGGGAAGAAACTATAACCATCATAATAAAGCCACAGCAGTAGCGCTGAGAAATAGATAATAAATCCTCCCAGAATGCCGAAGAGATCAGAGCAAAGGTAACATGGAAAGACAATGGGGACCTGTGCTTGTGGCTAAGATGGAGTAACGGCTGGATTCACCCTCTTATCTGAATAAGCAAAACCTGCCTGTCTGAAAACATTGGACACCGAGCAGTGCAGGACACTGACCCCTGAGAGAGACCTGCCTGGCCTCAGCAGGGAAGGGGGAGCCCAGGCCGAACCCAGCAGGCACTCCAATCAGAGATGGAACCAAGAACCAAAGGAGACCAAAAGAGCCAGAGTTCCCAGGGGAGGCCTGCAGGGAGTTCTCGCCAGCCGCCAGCCAGGTACAGGCCCGCAGGTGCACCGGAGGAAGCTGCCCGAGGGTGGGGAAGGGTGCCACCCAAAGGGTCAGAGAAAGTGACACCTGGAGCTCACACAAGGCTAGGAAGAGTCCACGTTCCCGTGAGCAGGAGTGGGCAGCGTGCAGTCCCCAGCACATCGGGAGGAGCCCTCAGAGGAGTCCTGGCTCGGTCACAGGAAGTACGCTGCAGGCTGCGCGACACGGGTACCATCAGGAATCCCAAAATGAAGCAAGCCTTAGAAGGATTAAGTTATTTCAAAGTAACTGTTCCAGAACAAAGACAAATAGGAATTTTTAAATCCAGAACCTGCCACAATAAGGAGCCAGTCCCGGAAGCCTGGAAACCTGTCTCAGTGCGCGCGAGACGACCGTTCCTCATCCAGAGGCACCAGGGAAGCCAGAAGGCGCCTGCAGGAAAGAATTCCACCAACTCACACTCGGCCCGAAAAGCCCCTGGCCACCGCGGGCCTGAGGCTGTCCCCCTCCCAGAGGCACTGTGACCAGAGAGTACTGGTGGGGGCACCCACCGCAACCAGTGTCCAGCCAGACAGGTCTCTCCATCCCTGCAGACCTGAAACTGCCTCCCCCCGTAAGAGACAGTGATGGGCCCAGCCTGGGGAAGTCCCGCCTCAGCACCGGTGGGAGCCCCAGACACATGACGCAGACCGAGGTGACACCGAAAAGGCCCTGCTGAGCCCCTGTGCTCTTTTGTCTGCTGAGGTGTAGAGCAAGCTCACAGTCTCCTAACTTACTGACAAAATGTCCAGGACACGAGTGAAAACACTCATGATACCAAGAACCAGGAAAAGATCAACTTAAATGAGCAAAGACAACACTGACACTGAGGTGAAACAAACAGTGGAATTATCTTTCAGGCATTTAAAAGCAGCTATCATAAAAATGCCTCCAAACCTGACTGTAAATTCTCTTCAGACGAGTGAAAAAAAAATCTCAACAAAGATATAAAATTTATTGAAAAGAACTAAAAGATACAAAACAAAGTTTTAAAACTTCCTGGATGGCCTCACCAGTAGAGGGGAAATGGCAGACAACATAATCAGTAAACCTGAGGGCAAATCAATATAACTGATCCAATCTGAACAACAGGAAAACAGAGAAAAAGGGGGGGTGGGATGGGCAATGCCTCAGGGACTTACGGGGGCAATGACAAAACAGCCAGCACTCATATCATCTCGATCCCAAAAGGAGGAAAAAGAGTGGGACTGAAAGTGTATTTGGAGAAATAAGGATGAAAACGATCCAAATTTTGGTGCAAGACAAAACCTTGAGAGATTCAAGAAGCTGAATAAATCCCAGACGGGTTAAATGAGCAATGTAAAAATGAAATTAAGAAAATCAATTCCATTTACAATACAATAAACTTAAGAGATAAATTTAACAAAAGAAATTCAAGACTTATATGCTGAAAACTACAAAATACCACTAAAAATGAAAGACCTAAATAAATGGAAGACCTCCTGTTTTCATGGGTTGGAAGATTAAGTATTTTTTAAATGGTAATACTCTCCAAATTGATGTACAGATTCAGTGCAAAACCCATCGAGCTAACCCTAAATTCTTACGGAAATTCAAGGGACCATAGTAGCCAAAACAGTCTTGAAAAGGAACAAGTTTGAAGGACTCACACTTCCTGATTTCAAAGCTTTGCAAAGCTAAAGTATCAAGACAGTGTGACAGTGGCATAAGAAGAGACATAGATCGATGAAATAGAACGGAGAGTCCGGAAACAAACGCGGGCATCTGTGGCTGGCTGGCCTGGGATGAGAGCCGAGGCAACCAAGTGGTGGAAAACAGTCTTCAACAAATGGTGCTGGGACAATTGGATCTCCACCTGCAGAAGAATGGATTTGGACTCCCACCTCACACTGTATATAAAGATTAAGTCAGATGACTTAAATATCTAAATATAAGAGCTAAAAATACAAAACTCTAGAGGAAAACATAGGAATAAATCTTCATGACCTTGGGGTAGGCAAAGTGTTCTTTGATACAACACCAAAACACAGCAGCAACAGGAAAGCAGGTGACTTGGGCTTCCCCAGACCCCACTACTTGGGTTCAGTAATAAGCTAAAGCGGCTCACAGGACTCAGGGAAAGGGTTGTTGTTATATTTTTTTTTACTGGATTGCAGATTTATTGTAAAATGATATACAACTCAAGAACAGTCAGACGGAAGAGGTAAGGGAAGGGGCACAGCTTCCATGCTCTCTCCAGGTATGCCACCCTCCCAGCACCTCCACGCAGCATTTATTACAATGGCACTATAAACCTATGGTGATCTCAAAATTTTGTTAAAACTATATCCAGAACCCAACAAGCTAAAAATAAATGCCTAGCATTCAATACAAAATGACAAGGCATGCAAAGCAGCAAAAAAAAATAAGCCCCCAACTGAACAAAAAGGCACGCTACAGTACGGGAGAATATATCTGTGAATGACATATCTGACAAGGGGCTAATATCCAAAATATATAGAACTCACATGCCTCAACACCCAAAAAGCAAATAACCCGATTAACAAATGGGCAGAGGATATGTAGAGACAGTTCTCCAAAAAAGAAATTCAGATGGCCAACAGGCCCATGAGAAGATGCTCCACATCACTAATCATC